AGAGGAGAGTGGGAATATGGAGAGAGAGGATGACGATCACGATGCGAGCGGGTGCCGACGACGACATCCTGGTATTTTGTGAGAAGCTGAAAGTTTGAAGTGTTCTAACGTGACGTCATGCTTAACACTATAGGGAACGAGGCCGAGAAAAAAAAGTGCAATTTATTTATTTTATATGCACAAAGAGAAGGAATGGCGACAAAAGAAAGGCTTGGAGAGACAGGTTTGCTGGACAAACGTCAATGATCGAAAGAGTGAATAGCAGATAGGGTAGGAACGAAAAGCATCAAATTTGCGAAACATTAAAATTCTTTCTGCGGAGATAGAGAAAAAGAAGGATAAAAGAAAAGATCCATTAGAAAATATTTATGCTTTCCTTATACCTATTTCGGATATGAAATGAATCCATAAACAATAAATTCAAATTGGAATGGATAAGAAGATACAGGAACATCATGTAACCTACCTAACGAGTTTGTATAAATGGGTGGTAGAATAGGGACTAGAAGGCATAGTTAGAGGACAAACATTTAACGCTAAAAAAAGATAGGAAGTTATAGAGGGTCATGGTCACCCCCTGAAAGAATACAACCTGGGCGAAAATTCATCGAAATTGATTGAAAAAAAATTAATAAGGTGAATACACAAGGATATTGGACATTAACAACAGAATTACAGCGAAGAATCCAAGCATTAAAAATGAAATGTTAAAGAACCATCCTGGACACCTCCGATGTAGACAGCATCATAAATAGCGCTGTGCGAGACACCGTCACTCAAGAAAGAAATCCGTTGGAAGACCTCATATCGACCGTTAAGAATGGAAAGCTGAAACGGTATAGCTACGTCCTAAGGACCAACCATCTTTCCACTGCCATCCAGCAAGGTACCACCTAAGGAAAAAAAAAGGAGACAGTCAGAGGGCTGACAACCTCACTGAGTGGACTGGAAGATCATTCACATTCGTGGAACTCAGACATTGGCAAGTAATCGAAACATATGACGGAAACTGGTCAAGGTGTTCAGCTGCTCAGGGAGCCTACGAGCACACCCGATCATGGAACTGATAATGATGACGATATGCAATTAAGAGCTGTGTCGTCCAATTGTAAACGCTTTTTATCTGTTGATATTTAATAAGCTGAACTAATTAAAGAACGAGATCACAAATGCCGGGCATCCAGTAAGGATCGAACTCGTTCTAGTAGTAATGATCTGTGATGCTAACTTGATAACCACTGTTCCACAGCGACGCGTTCATATGTTTTTGCTACTCTCTTTATTATCTTCATGTTATTCCCGAGGCAACAGTAACGACTCAAGGATTTGCATATCGGGGTAAGTGTCGAGCCCAGTTAGCAGACCAATAAGTAGCAGAATCTCATTTCGGATCAATGAACGATCAAAAACGCGAGTAACTCGACAAGAAAAAGGAAATTGTGCTTCGAACTACTTTAAAAACTATTTCTTGAAGCAGACCGAACGTGCGAAACATTCAAATCATCTAATCTTTCAGATACATTGTAAAAACAAAAAAAAAAAAAATGACATTCTTCAGTACTTTTACTGTTAAATTGTCCACAATGACTCAGTACGCAAAAGAACGAAACCAAAGAAAAAAAAATGAACATTTTACAAATGGAGTTCTCTAATCTTTAGAGGCTAAAAATAACAGGGTTAACTTCTCCGGAGTCACACACATAGAGATAAGGTTGTAGAAGAAGGTGTTTCTCTTTTTCTCTCATTATTTCCACTGCTTTTAAGTAACTTTGTTAGTGTATGTCTCCTGGCCAACTTTTAATGTCGAATCAGAGAGAAAGTAAAACTCGTCTGTTTTCTTTCCTATGTACGCGCCGCAAGCGGTAATTAAAGACGAAAGTATTTGCATGAGACAATCATAATAATGATAATAATAATCATTAGTAGTAATTTTGTGCTTTCAATGCAAGGAATACCTGACCCACCAACACATCTCACAGGTCAATAACAATCGTCGTTGTTTTCTGCTTGCGCCTTTCTTCAACGCATATTTTCATTCAATTTATCTTTCTTGGTCTTACCTTTGCTTCTTCCTATTCTTTTGTCTTCTTCGTTCCTACACCTTATTCCTCAACTATTAACTTTTTCCAAAATCTTCTTGGTGTTTTTCTTTTCTTTCCCTTTTTAAAACGATCTTCTTAAAATATTTCTTTTCATTTGATTTCTCCTGCTCCTTTCTCGTCTTTATTACCTCTTACCCTCCTCCGAATTCTCTACTCTTCCTCTTCCCCCGATGCAATATCGTCCTCTTGTTACAAGTCTCTTATGATCTCTTTCTCTTTTTCTCACATTCTTCTTTTAATACTACTACTAACAATAATAATAATGTCATCAAAACCACCACCCCCACCCCCACCATTCTGCTAAGATGGCACAATAATGAAACTTTTAAAACAAAATCAAGCAAACAAGTATTCGGACGAGAAAATAATAACTCAAAACAAAAATTCTAAAAATGTCCTCCACCGTCACTCCATCTACACAACAAAAAAAAACGTTCAGAACAGTGGCAAAAATTTAAAAAAAAATGAAATAAAAACAATCTAGGAAAGAAATAAAGAAATTAAACATATTTAACAATTGACAGCAATAACAAAATTACAAAATCATCGTTATCTTCATCACTAATGGCAGCGCTAATGTGAACGCCTGCAGCTCTGCCGAGCGAAATGCTTTAAAGACTTGAAAAATTCTATTAAGAATAGCAGCAACATTATCATCAACAGCAGCATCATCATCGGGGTTGGTAATGATTATATATAACACTTATTATTATTTGTTCCGCGTCCCTTCAGGACATAAGCGATCATGGCTCTTCACAACTTCCTATCTCGTATGGTTCTTAGCAGATTTTCTCCCTTTGCTATGGCTCTGTCCCTCCCCCGAACCGCCATACATTCGCATAATCTCGTTAGGTCGCTGGTTGGCTGCCTTCCCCTATCTCTCTTGCCCTCAATAGGCCCTACGAGTGTTAAGTTTTCCAAGTCCTCCTTCCTCATCATGCTTCCAAGCAATTCCAGTCTTTTCTTGGAGTAGACGTGTTCTATCGGTTACCATTTTCTTTAAGACTTCTTTGTTGCTTACTCGCTCCGTCCATGGAATTCTCAGTATCCTTCTGTAGAACCACATTTCTGTTGACTCCTCATCTGTGGGGGAAATTGTACAGCATTCACTGCCATAAGTGGTTGACTATCATATAGATATCCAGTACTTTTTTCTTTGCTTCCAACGAAATTTTTCCATTTCTCGACACCTTACTTAGCTTTTGAAAAAAAGAAATTTTTATAAAATACTAACTACACACAAAAGTTTCTTTTTGTTTGTGCATCTTTATTACGTAAGATGTGACTTAAGGTCAGTTTTAATGTGAGTTGCCCATACGTATACATATATGCCATTGGGTCATTGGCATCATTATCCACCAACCCTCCCTCTTTAGTCAAGTGAGAAAGGTGCTGTCGCATGGTTGGAATACTCGGTAACAAGCTATTATAAATCTTGTGTAGTTATTTACCCACCTCCCTAAATGACAAGGTCTGGCAGAAAGCCGGTTTTATGCGGGGTGTCGTACATAAAGAACAAGAACACAAATTGCCTGATCCCTGCGACCACTGCCATACTGGCATCGATATCCACCATGTGAATTAAGAGAGGTGCTGTTGGAGGTTTGGAATCCCCCGTGACTAGGCTATTATAAATATTGTGTAGATATTTACACAATTTCCCCAAATAGTAAGATGTGACGATTTAAGGTAATGTGCAGTATAAGGGTCAAGGATAAAAATTACGCCATATCCATCCAATCTACAATGAGGGAGGTGCTGTCGCACAGTTGGAATCCTCCGAGTAGGCAATTAAAAATCTTGTGTTAAAGGATCGATTTTGACCTGGCATCTTTACTTCAGTCGAGGTGAGCTGGATTCCCTCTGTCTTTTCTACAAATATTTTCGTGCCAACTGAAATTATATATTACTCCATAAATGAAATAATACACGGAGGAGTAATGTATAACGGCTCGGATTAAGGAATCATAGAGCCGAGTTCGAGTTCCAGTCGAATCCATTACATTCACTTACGTTCTAATTCCCTTAGGAAAGGTATTAATCCTCTTCTTCTCCCCGCCTCAGCTGTGGGTAAATGGCAGGATAAACCTTGGATGGCAACTCGTGTACCGCAGAAAGAAATGGCAACCTACTGCTGGAAAAAATGTCTTGTAAGTCATGTATCGAAAGATACATGATCACCTAAGCGTATATCATGCATGGCAAATAACTGACTGGCCTCGTATGAATTTAAGCGTGATACGAGATTGACAACTAAGTCTCACTGCTTTACTGTTGAACGAACTAGTGCAACCGCCACTTCTATTCTGATAGTTTCTTTTCTTGCTTGTGGAACTATCTTCTGATTTCTTGCTTCCCTGTCACCTACAATCTTCAAACATTTAAATGCAACATCAATGGTCATCTTCTGTCTTCCTGAGCCCTGTTCCTTTATGGTCCTTTTCTCACTCTTCTTCAATAAAGGTTTCTCATTCTCTTTCACTCCCTGTAACCCTCTGCGTCCCAGTAGCAGTGTCACTTTGCTTGGGGTGAAACAATTTAAAAAAAAAAAAACAAACAAAAAACGCGTAAATTACGCTTGGTTCTTATAAACTTTTTTTTAATCATTTCACCCCAAGCAAGACGATAATGCCAGTAAGACGCAAGGAGCTACTGGGATTGAGTGATTAATTCATTTTCTACGGTTTATCAACCTTTTGCAGGTTATTTAAAGCCAGAAAACATTGTTAGATTGTAAGAATTTTCTTTTGGTGGGGAGAAGACAATAATGGTTTAGTGATACAAGACTTACTAATTAACCCATAGCGTATTTTCACGTAAGTGAATACAACGAAATCAGTGGGAATTGGAACTCGGCTCTCAGATTAACAATTCCATTACACGATCCGCACATCCAAGCTTACAGCATCTGGTATTCTTAAGCGGTCCCCCATTTAGGTACTAATCAGGTTCCACGTTGCTTAACTACGGTGATTTTACAGGAACCGGTGTTTCTACTGGATGTGGCCTTGGGCTCCTGGGGGTGAAAGACAATTAGACGACTTTAGAAGGAACCGGAAACCCAGTACAAAACAGGAAAAGGGATAAACCCTTACTCCTGTTCAGACGATGGAGAAGGCATGTGAACCCGGCGATAGACGAACTTATCTACTCCTATTAAATAAACTTTTAAAGTATGATAATTTTAAATATATAAATTAGTTTAATTTGTTTTAATTGCTTTTTGTCTCTATCATGATGATATGATAGGTTATTTTAAAATTAATTTTAGTTTAATATTCATGAAATATTTGATTACGAACGAGAAAATGCGGAATTAGATTCAAGGCAAACGTAAAAACTGTTTACACCTGCCTTCACTTTTTGACCGCACAAGTGAATTATTTATCTATGAGTTTATGGAAAAACGTTGTTGAAAATCTGAACAGATTACCAGCTATACGTATCATTTTAGGAGTCGGTGGATGAGTGTTAATTAAATATAGATCTTTTCCTTTAGCTATGTTGATAAGGGAAAGATTTGTTTAATCGCGTAATGTGATTATCACGACTTCAGAAAAACTACAGATTGAATCTGCAAATAGTGGATTCATCTATTCCCAAATTCTTAAACAATGTGGGTGCCTAGATGTGGTATAATGGCAAGCTAATCTTGTTGACCATTACTACGGTGTAGAGAGTCCAATTCTCACCGTGTCCCTCTTAATTGTGGTCTTGTTCTAAGCTAAGTAAACAACATTCAATCAATGTACGTACTGAGAAGATGATGAACAATGTATTGAATAAAATTATAAACAAATATCACTTGTCTGTTATCTAGTCTACGATATTCATTTGTTTTCTATCATTTTCTTCTCAAGGAGTACGCCAATGCAGTCAGATAGAACGGAAGGGTACGCCAACGCAATCAGTTAGGTCGGCAGGGTAATAATACAATCAGGTAGGACGAAGGTTACGCCACTACAGCCAGGTAGGGCAGAAGGATACGCCAATACAATTAGGTAGAACGGAAACGTACACAATATAATCAGGACGAAAGAGTACGTCAGTACAATCAGGTAGGACGGAAGGGTACGTCAGTACAATCAGGTGGGACGGAAGGGTACGTCAGTACAATCAGGTGGGACGGAAGGGTACGTCAGTACAATCAGGTGGGACGGAAGGGTACGTCAATGCAGTAAGGTGGGACGGAAGGGTACGCCAATGCAGTCAGGTGAGACGGAAGGGTACGCAAGAGGAAAACATTGAGCAAGACTTTCTCTCCTTCCCTCCATCTGCCCAAATTATAGCTAACGGTAAAAAAAAAAAATAATTCAAATAAACATATTTCACTAACAACGGCTTGCAAAATTGGCACGCTAACTACTATACTGCCTCGAACTTATTATTTTCGTTTATTTAAATTATTTTTACTTTTAGCTCGTATAAGTTCTATATTTGGTTGGTGTACATAAGAAGTTAACTTTTTTTCTTCATAGTACCCTTTCATCCAGTCTGGCAGTGTTGGCGTACCCTTTGAGAAGAATATGGTAGAAAATACACAAGTTGAAAATAAAAGAGTCTGTGAAATAGATTAATATCATGATCTTGGCCAAGATTGTGTAGTATTCAGATACTAGTCTTCATAAGTATGTGAGAAATAGGAACAGTCTTAAAAGATTAGTGATGAGATTGGAATATTTTGAAATCAGGAGAATGTTTGAAAGAACGCGAAAAGGGGGACAACGATTTTAAAATAGGACAGACTGGACACTATAGCCTTGGCTGGCAATCAGTCTAGGAGAAAGAAATTCTGAATTCAAACCGGATCGCACTATCCTAAAGTGCGTATACAGACGACTGGGGGACCGCTTGTGAATCCAAATTCCCACTTTAACTCCCACTATAGATTTACACTTCCGAATGAATAAGATTTCTGATACACTTGGTCAAGTTTCGTTCGAAGCCCGAGGGGTCGTTTGACGAGGCCGGTTCAACCGACTGGGTGGATGACGCAACACCTTCAGGGACAGTTATGGCTAGAAGTCAATCTAGTTTTAATATTAAAAGGTTTACAATATAAGATAGGGATCTGTGTATCCTTTTTTCCTGTTCGACTGCATTGACTTATCCTTGGAAAGATATATGCTATAAAATGAATAGGTACCATAAAGTTTTTAAGAGATAAGTCATAAGCGTCTATAATTTTTATTCGCTACATTGTTCCGCATTTAATTGGATAGAGGAGCTTGACAACTAAACCAATTCTGAGAACACTTTCAGAGAGACATTCGCGTCTATCATTTTCAATTTACAGTTATTTTGGCAACAGCAAATGGATGGGAACAGCAAAAGACTTACCACGCATTTTGTTTAAACACAGATGGCAATGATTTCGCCATGGAACGCCCAAACTTTGGTAGGGGAGAGAATTTCAAAAAGATCTTTGGTCATTTCGTTATTCAGACATTCTTCAAATTTATCTTTGCAAATTATCTGGGAGAGATGCAGGATTAATTCGAAAGGAATTCAAAATGTGTCGATAATAAAAGAAGGCATACAGAAAGATAAATATCTCTTTCTATCGGGGAAATAAAGGACAAAAAAAGTTGGCTAACTTCTAATTCTAAAAAATGGACGGATTACAGAGAATGCGAATTTCACTCGCCTATGGCTACTTCTACCCCGATTTACGAACGCTTGGTTTAGGAAAACAACACTTATTGTTTGGTACGAAACTAAAGTCAACTTAGAGACGATAGATATAAGTGGGGGAATAGTCAGTGATTTTTATTTCCCTGTGTCAAATCATAATTTAAATATAAGTAGACACATATTTTTTTTGTCTACCAACTGGCGTGTCTACTTACATTTATATATCTTGGTCAGCTTAGGAACTTTTCAGCTGACCCTCGTAGTTTAAAATATTTCACTCATACAAAGCTCATTGATTTTACGGATATATTTTTAATTTTTTTGTATTAACTGTTAAAATTTAAAATTTTTCCACGGCGTTTTTATGTAGAAGGTATGCCATGTTAACAACGCGTCCTTGGATTTTTTAATTGTGTTGAAAATGCTTACGTAAAGTGGCGAAATGTCAACGCGAAAAGAAAAGAAAATCTAAATCCAACAAGTTTTTACGTATTCCATCTTCACAAACTTTGACCTTGGCCCCTGTCACCATCTCATAACCACTGATTTCTTTGCTGACTTCGTTAATCTCAGCCCTCATCATATATCGGTTTTATATTTGCTAAGCTTAAATTAGTCTGGTACAAGGACGCAGTAGTAGCGGATCCAGTAGTGATAACACGACGACACAATTTATTTTAAAGGAACTAACTAGCTATAATTCTATGATCTTGTAAATATTGGTTAAGTCCGGCAATAGTACATCACATATTGAGGATCATTATTGCATTGCAGTAATTAAGTATAACTCCAGGAAATGTGTCCACAACAGTCAAAGAAAGTTTTTTTTTATAATTTATTCCCCTATTTAATTCTTTGTTTCCTTACTCTTCTTGAAATGTCGGAAGGAAACCATTAGTGCAACTGATTGCATTTGTTTCCTTTTGCTTTGTTTTGTCTCTAATTTGGTATTTTATTTCATGAAATCGTTTTTTTCGTGTTTCCAGGTAACGGTACCATCGATTTCGAAGAATTCCTGCAGATGATGGCGCGAAAAATGAAGGACACGGATAGCGAAGAAGAACTGAGGGAGGCGTTCCGGGTGTTTGATAAAGATGGTAACGGTTTCATTAGCGCGGCCGAACTGCGTCACGTGATGACCAACCTCGGAGAGAAATTAACGGACGAGGAAGTAGACGAAATGATCAGGGAAGCTGACCTGGATGGTGACGGAATGGTCAATTACGAAGGTGAGAATTACGTTCGAAACCACCTTGTTACACACACACACACACACACACACACACACACACACACACACACACACACACACATATATATATATATATATATAATCAATCGATTGGTTGATTGATCAGATAATCTTGAATAATTTTCCAGTATTTTTCTAGTTACTGTTCTCAGTTTCATTATACGGTCAGATGAGATATCTTTGAGAAATGTAAAGCATTTTTGTTGTTTTTTTGTTTTTTTTAAACACCCATGCAGAATCAAAATCAACAATACTTATATATCCGCTTTGAAGTATCAGCTTAGTATGCTTTAAAAGCATTTCCATTCTATTATTACCTCCAAGCATTACTTTCAAATAGTAATACCTCCAACATGTAGTGACACTAAATATTATAAGTAATACTACATCCTTCAAAGAATTACTTTCAAGATACCATACCTCCAATATTCAGTACCTCCAAGTATTACTTTCAAGTAATAATGCTTTCACTATTCAGCGCCTCTAAGTCGAGATAATACCTCCAACATTCAGTACCTTCCAGTAATGCATTCAACTAATAATGCCACCACCATTCAGTACCCTCAAGTATTACTTTCACGTGATAATTCCTCCAACATTCAGCACCTTCAAATATTAATTTCATCTAATAATGGCGCCACGATTCACTGCCTCTAAATATCACTTTCACATATTAATACCTCCAACATGCAGTACTTGCAAGTATTAATTTCACGTGACAATACCGTCACCATTCAATACCCACCAATAATACATGCAAGTAACAATGCCGCCATTATTCAGTACTTCTAAGTATTACTTTCACGTAATTATACCTCCAACATTCAGTACCTGCAAGTATTACTTTCACGTGATAATTCCTCCAACATTCAGCACCTCCACGTATTACTTTTAAGTAATAATCCCGCCACTATTCACTACCTATGAATATCACTTTCACGTGATAATGCCTCCAACATTCAGTACTTGCAAGTATTACTTTCAAGTAATAATGCCGCCACCATTCAGTATATACAGTTATTAGTTTCAAATGATAATACTTCCAATCTTCAGTATCACCAAGTATTACTTTCAAGTAAGAATACCGTCAATATTCAGTTCTTCCAAATA